ACAACACTACAATATTTACAACAACACTACAATATTTACAACAACACTACAATATCTACAACAACACTACAATATTTACAACAACACTACAATATCTGCAACAACACCACAATATTTACAACAAACCTACAATATTAACAACAACACCACAATATTTACAACAACCCTATAATATTAACAACACTACAATATCACAAGAACACTACACTAAGGGGAATTAGTGTAGTTACCACAATTTATTAAAATTATGGTAAACCTCAGTCATGCCCTTGGAGTTGCCGAGCTGCGCGCCAAGCAGCAGAGGGATCATCGTAGGAGACCCGTCGACGCTGAAGGCAGAGCCGCCGTAATGCATTATCGACTTGTAGTCGTAGGGGAATCTCTCCCATCCCGCGAACACAGGCCTTGTCGACTGCCATGAATACATTTTATATTGAGTATTAATTATTATTCTCTTAACTGTTCACTACAAGATTAATGCATGAGCGATGTTCTATGAAATGTTTGCCTGACTGATTACTTTTTTTGTACGTTTTATCATACTTTTTACCTGTATAACTTTTTTTCACACCTATGCAATCAATATACGCGCTTATTAGTGACTGTATTTTACTACTTCCGGTTATATTTTACTCATCTTTTATCATCTCTACGCCAAACTGATACGACACGTAAAGTAACCTTAGCAAAATTAGCGCGCATGCTTGGCTTGACTTTATCGTAGTCGATATAGATGTAGTTGTCTCGGTCCCATCTGGCGTGCTCATGTCCAAAGCCGATGGCGTGGATGAGCTCGTGTAGGACGGTGGTGAGCTGGTCGCAGCCAGGCTCGGCTAGGGACAGGTCCTGGAACTTGGTTTTCTCGAACGGCGAGCTCGGTTGTCTGCCCACGGTCGAGTAACATCTAAATGGAGGAAAAATTATAATGTAATTAAGCTAATGCTTATTGAGACTAAGATTGCCTACGGATGAGAATCAACGGCGATTAATTAACAACAGTTGTCATGTGGATAAAAATAAGGTCATGAAATGAATATTTTAAACATTTTGTGCCACTCAATAGATTGTAAAACGAAGCAGTATACTTTTTTAATAAGGAATTTCAAACTGTACTAAGTTGTATAATTTATTTCACAGTAATAAAGATCAACCACATGTACTAACAATTGATACAGAATTTTTTTCAAAATATTCTTTTTCTTTTCAATAATTCTAGATATTCACAATTAATCCTAGTTAAATGATGATTAATATCAGGTTTATTATTCTAACTTTATTTGATGAATGCCTCATAACAGACATGAGCCCTAGATATATTAGAATTACAGTATCCTACAGCATGCGATTAAACTAACCCTTTCCCTTGCATGATGTTCACCACATGGTCGTGCGACAAGTTCATCTTGACGAAGCTGATGCACGTCTTCTTGGAGATTTCACTCATTGCTTGCTGGATCAACTGCTGCATCCGGTCACCTGTTGAGAAAATATAATTTTTCTTAGCTACACGACGCCAATATTGTACAGAATTTCCAAGTCTCGGACTTCTAGGCTGTACATCAGGTTGCATAGCTACATGGGTTGATGCAATACACTGGGGCTAACGGGGACGAGAAAGAATATCCATCTCGCTGAGAGAATTTCTGCCGGATTGGTTACACTGGAATGCTGGATTGGTTGCACTGGAATGCAGGATTGGTTACACTGGAATGCAGGATTGGTTACACCGCAATGCTGCAGGATTAGTTACACCGCAATGCAGGAT